TTGAATTTCATCCTGGGGAGAACCCTGCGTGGGGTTTAAAACTAATGCTCGCCTGAGGCTAGTGGTGATCCGTAAGGACTAGTAGCAAATCCGTAGCTACTTTTTGTGCCACTGACCTCATTTGATTTGAATATAAAATTAGTGTGTGCAAACGTCACAAAATTGCAAAACCTAACCTTATCCCAAAGTCACGATGAAAACCGATGGCACGGACCAGGGCCAGAAGAACAAATTACATATCGGAGGGTGCATGATGGTATCAATAAAGCGCAGGAATCAGACAGTGTTCCTGCTAAGGATTTGAAACAACTGGTAGACAGGGTCAAGACAGGGTTTGCCAACTCGTGGTCGAAGTTGACATCGTATAGAAAGGTTGATAGAACGATGCAAAGTTGATCAACCCGTCTAACTAAAAAACTAAAAGTTGATAGTGTAAGGCTTAAAGCCTACCTAAAAGCTAAGCTTAAAGCTAGCTAAGCTTAAAGCTACCTTAGTGTAAGGCTTAAATCAAAGCCTTAAAGCCAGCATTAAGGCTCAGTTGAGCTCCAATCGCTACTCAAGCTACTTTTGCCATGCACCTCAGCAAAAACAGTATTGCACACACTATCACACGAGTGATCACAATCACAATCTTTAGAGTCACACTGACTCTGGTTGGTGCAAATATTGACCCGAATCTTTCACAATTTCACACCTTGCATATATACTACACACCCCAAGTTTCTCAACGGATTTAATCACATTGATTTCAAAAATTATAAATTGGAAAATCAAAGCCTAATTGGGAATCAATTTAAATATAAATAAATATATATATATATATATATATAACAGGTGTACTAACTTTTCAATAAACTCCGTAGTTCCGGCCAGCATTGATCCGACTGGAGCTCCAAGACCCTGAAAGGTTAACAGTAACCGGGTTAGACGTCACCAGCAGATGAAGCTACCGACTAGTGCATTATCAATAGCCTAATCTCTCTACCTTTCCACATTCTTTATGCTTATAAATATACACCTTGGATAGACACATGCTGACAGAGTCGCATTTTTTGACTAAATCCAAAGGCGGCCGATCCAGGGCATAGGCAGCATTCATCAAACGGGCTCCGTCCATGTGTACTATAAGGCCATGTTCGTGTGAAACTTCTGCCACCTGAAAGCAGCAGGCCAGCATGGCGAATGATAAACATGTCAAACTAACAAACAGCTATGAATATCATATAAATGTCTGATGTCATCTGGCTTGCAGTTTAATGACGAATTATATATTATTCATAATTTCGATATCGGATTGCATGGTTCTCAGCCTGCATTACAATCGTTCACTTACGTATACTAGTAAAAGCATATCATGTGCATATGTTTCACAGCCACACAATATAAATAGTTTATGTGTATCATAAATAATTCCGTTCCTTGGGCATCATTAGAATGCATGCAGTAAGGCCTGCACATGCCACCATGACGCACCTCCTCAATGAAAGATAACGGTAGAACACGACCGCCACAAAAATTATGCGTATTCTCTATTGAGACGACTCGGGTCAGCGTCTGGTGGGGGTCATCTGTGGGTCGAATCTTCGATTTTAACTCCTTGATGCTGAATGTTCCGTCGTTCCGATTTATGACTGGCATTGGATGCACACCTGCCACCTGGTGGGGAAATCACTGAGCGTAAACAGACGTACGCCTTTTAAAAAGCTGCATTTAAAATTGTGTCTAGGAAACATCTGACAATTAATTAAATTCATATGATGATGAAGCTTAGACGCACATAAACTACAAGCAGTATGCACCATATATATAGTTGCTTTATCCATGTATAAACCATGCAGCTATTTTTCAACTGTTCCATTAAAGTGACTGTAACATTCTTCCAGTCCCTAACTACATATAAAGAGATATATATATATATATATGAAATAGATATCAGGCTGATAATCACCAATCGGGCAACCAGTGAACAATCCGGTAAATCACATTACAGGGCTACAGTAAAATCTGCTGCCTATAGCAACTAACATTTTTAGAATAGAAATAAATATTGGTCCGATCGTGAGCCTATAACTCGGTACAGCTTATCCAAGGTCATGATCACCAGGTAATATTTACACTTTGTCCACAATTTGCATACACTGGCTTGTGGCATAACAGATAATTAAGTTTATCTCGTCTCTATCCCTATAGCAGATATGTCTGCACCATTGGGATCTTGAGCTGGCTCGTTTAGCTATTTCTGACTAACCCTAACCCTAACCCTAATCCTAACCCTATACATATTATATATTATATATACAGGGTTCTCCAAGCTTTTTCATTATAGCATGGCGGGGCTGCCTTTACGGTCCTAGTTTTAGCATGTTTTAGCTAATTTTAGCATGGCGGCTATAATATTTAGAGTGGCGGGTGCATTTTAGGATGGCGGGGCTCAACGATAGCCTGGCGGGCCGCCAGACTACAAGTGCTGTTGGAGAACCCTGATATATATATATATTATTCAGAAATAGCTAAACGAGCCAGGTCAAACAGAGGTCAGGGGGACATATAGACCTTATCTGCGATAGTATGTATACATAATTACAAGCTCCGGTCGTGAGCCTAACTTGGTACAGCTTATCCAAGGTCATGATCACCAGGTAATATTTGCACTTTGTCCACAATTGCCATACATTGGCTTGTGCCGTAACAGATAATTAATTTTATCTCGTCTCTACCACTATAGCAGATACGTCTGCACCATTGGGATTTTAAGCTGATATAATGAACGAAGTTGGGAGGCAAGGAGAGACAGAGGGTGCAGAAGTGGAAGTGGGTAGATACTAGAAAGGGTAGAGGATAAGAGAAGAGGTTTAGTAGAGATAGAGGATGAGAGGGAAGAAGAGCTAGGAAGGAAGGTGGGGGGGGAGGGAGAATCAAGATGGCAGAGTGGAGAGTGGGCGAGAAGGGGAGAACGAAAGGGAAGATTTCTTCCCCGAGACATATACCACACCAGATTCTTCATCAGCAAAGTAACCATCACCGCTGTGAACACTGTCATCGTTACCAGTAAACCAACGCACTTTCTAGCTGGAGGCTAATGTAGAGCTATCACCTGTAGCCTTGCAAATTACGCGCCAGCCGGACTAGTTTACACTGAATGTGCAGTCCACGAGGCATAAACTTGAAAATGGACATGCAGCATGTGCAGTTGGATCTCACTTGACAGATAAAGAAACAGTGAACAGTAGCCACAATTTGCAGCTTTGTGCGGTGCTTAAAAACAATCATTTTTAGCAGGGGGAGTTTTTATGGGTGATATGAACAGGTGGTTATTCTATAGAGGTGGTTGCTAACACCGGTTTAACAATAGTATCCAGGGGCGTACACAGACATTTTTTGATGGTACGTAAAATTGCACTCAAATTTGTTATTTTTACTGAAATCCTTCTGACCATCTGGCATATAATGACACTGTAGTCATTATTCTTATCACATGCATAATTCTGTAAGCCCAACTGAACGTTACATTATTTCGTTTTAGTAAAAAGATCATGTATTTTTTTCATTCTGAAAAATTTTAGTACGCATTTGCGTACTTTGCGTATAGGTAGGTTACGTAGGTACGCTATTGGTATCGCTTCTGTACAAGTTTGACATTCGCTAGCAGTACACCAACTAGTAGGCATATACCTGAGCGATTCCTCCTTGTTCAAATAGAAAGAGGTGCGACTTATCTCCCAAAATGACTTCATCACCTCGGTTGCTACAGTGGGCCATCACTGCATAGAAAATATGCACATAAACGTAATATACGCGTACAGAGCATAATGACAACTAGTACAACTAGTAAATGCACATGTACTCTACTAGCGTGATGTGTTTATACACGAGGCAGACTTTCTTACATGCTTTTATAACAGTATTATAGATATTATCAAGAGTACATAATAGAGATTACAATCGAGAGAGTACAAGAGAGTACGAGAGTACGAGTACGAGAGTACGAGTACGAGAGAGTACAATACATAAGAGAGAGTACAATCTATTATGTACTCTTGATATTATCTCAAGTATTATAATGTACTCAGCGATTCCTGCACTTGCCTCAGAAACAACAGATTAATCTTGTATACACAGCACAGTGATAACCTGCATAACAGAAACCTGAGTCATGGAAATTGGCTCATAAGGAATAAGTAAGTTATTGCAATTTAACTCAACAGAATATTTAACGAAAACTTGTAGGGACAGTGATTTTCCGTTTCAAAAAATTGCCTTTTCCGTTTGGGAAAATCATGAATTCCGTTTCAAAATAAAGAAAAAATGGAAATTCCGTTTTGCTAGAGATTGTACACACCAAAAATGCAAAATTCCATTTACATATATTTGCATGAAAAAAAGGTATTTGGTCACTGAATTCTGTTTGGTCTTCCGTTTGAAAACATCTTTTCCGTTTCCAATGGCCGTTTCCGTGTTTTCCGTCCGTTTTCCGTGATCGCGGAAAATCACTGTCCCTAAACTTGCTGCTATGAGATATTTTAAAGGAATGACCAGAAGGTCAGTGTTTTCCACAGGAAAAAATGGGGTACTAAATCATTACCAAAATCCCAGCGTATGCCTACCTGGCTGTTGCAAACCTCGGCTCACCCTCTAAATATTGACCTCATGAGCGCGCAATATCCCAGAATGCACTGCGTGCCACCCCAGCATGGGAATCAGAAACGTTGTTGTTGCCGTTTAGAACACGCTGTTGCTGCGTGTGTTTGTTTACACAGAGATGTCACATGCATGCATTAATTAGTGGGCGGTGAACAGGAGATTGAAACAGATCAGTTATTTTGTCGTTATTTATACCAACACAACTTTTTTTTAAAGTTTGTTGAAGTTAATCGGCCATAGAAAAGTCACAGTGCAGTAGCAATTGCACATACCATTGTCAATTCTAAACACATCCGTTCAATCATCGTAGAATGTAGAAAATTGCAAAGCTCTCCGTTGTTAATAATGCTACAGTTGCTGATGTTTTAATACAGATTTCTCGAAACCCACAACTCCGATTCCAAAAATTTTGGTTTAGTTTTAACGCTAACGCAAGTAAAGTAAGTAAGTAAAGGGTCTCTGGATTTATTATGAAAGGTTATATTTTAGAAGTGTTGGCTCTTTATTTACATTTATTGTTGTTTCATAAAAAAACTTTACAGATTTTCGTGCATCTTTGCAACTTATTTCCTAAAATAAAACGTTTTTTTTAAATTCCAGGGACCATTTACTAGTGCATACTATGAACAACTTATGGCTAAACATTTAGGTTCCACATAGCAAGCTCCTAACAAGTTGGTCAGCCCAGCTTTGATATGTGCTGCTAGCCCAGTAAACAGCTATCATGAAACAAGCAAGTGTGGGTACACCAAATGTTAATTACTAGTTCACTTATTTATATGTAGTTGACTTACTGGCGACGAGATTGCCCATTGTACCACTTGGCACAAATAATGCCGCCTCCATGCCAAACATGTTTGCCACCTTTGCTTGAATCTCTACATGAAGAATAGAAGAATGAAGAATGTAATCATGCATCTTAGTCAATCCTTGGTACAAGAAAGAGGAGATGCGACTCAAAATGAATGACTTACACCTCAAGATTTCAGCATTTTACTAGTTTGTGCAATTCTTATATTATTTTTTATGAGGAACAAATTATATGACCACACTCCATATAATGGAAACATGTGAATTCAATCAACTGCACAAGCTCTACTGAGATATATTTATTATTATATGATGATTCAAGTTTACTAGTACAAGGACTTTATTATTTCCACAATCAATATCTTCACCACTGTTTAGCCTTCAGAATATGCTACTTGCTGCATGGTCACTCACCGTGTATCATAGGGTCTTCGCGGAAAACATCATCACCGACAACCGCATCCGCCATTGCCTGTCTCATTCTCTTGTTTGGCTTCGTTAACACATCGCTCCTCATGTCTATAACGCGAGCATCCGAACCTAGCTCAGCAGATCCTACATCCATGTGGTAGCAACATGCACCAAGCGTCCAGTTCGAAATCTTGTTGCCTCGGCGATGCAAAACATTGGCGAGAAGGAATCTGCTAGCCATTGCTGTGACTGCTGTGATGAGCTCAAACAATGTTTATAGCTCTGACCAGTTCAACGGAAGTAGAAACTTAGTTCACGGTACAATCTGTGAAGAAAATGTTACATTGACTTGATAAAGTAGTAGCGAGTAGGTAGAACAATTGATCCAACACATATAGGTCAGGAGTAAAAAATCTTATTTTTAAGATGAAATAATTTAATTTAAGATTATTTACTCCCGATATAGGTACGTACATACTCAGTGTTTTCCCTGGTTAAAATCATAAGCGAGGTGGCAGTGTTGATAAGGTGAAAGCACGACATGCCGATGCAAGCGCCGTCGTATTAAACATGCCTAGCGTGTGCCTAGCTGGCACGAGTCTGGCGAGTAACGAGCACGGTACGTCACACCCGCGGTGTTTGCACATGCTTTGATGTGCGGCAGAACTGATTAAGGCATGGGGGTGCCGGGTAGGGAACGTAGAAAGAGAACCTGGGACTGGAGAGTGCCAGCCGGTTATCGATTTAGGGGGATCCTGAAAAATTTGCAGCAAAGTGACAATTTCAGCAAACATTGAGCGAGGCGGATGAAAGAAATCAGTAAGGTGGTCCGCTTCGCTGATCACATACCTGGTAGGTATGTATACATGCAAACAGGAGTACATCAGATAGCATGTATTAATGAATTCTGATACATGCGAACCACTGGCACTACGTTGAGTGGTCTATTTGGTCAACTTTGTCTCTCTCCGTCTTCAATATTGGACTTTGAAGGTTATGATGTTATATAATCAGGCCTGAACTTGAACATTTTTATATCAAACAGCCTGTCACTGTCAGTGACAATGTCTATGATATGATGTCAATGATTATCATCCTGCAGTGCTTCATATCAGAATCGGAATCAGACATTGACTGATTGAGACAGCTGATACTGATATAGCTCTAGTACTATAGCCCGCGTTCGATTAACTGCCGCAGGCGGTTAATCGAACGCGGGCTATAGTACTAGAGCTAATACTGATACTGATAAGTGATAGACTATAGACTATAGTATATATATTATATAGTGTCATACAAACAGTGATGCTCATACTAATAGTAATACTAGTATTAGTAATAGGGTCTATGCATTGTCCCCCTGACCTGTTTGACCTGGCTCGTTAGCTATTTCTGACTAACCCTAACCCTGGTAACTATCTGATATGGTTAGGGTTAGGGTTAGGGTTAGTCAGAAATAGCTAAACGAGCCAGGTCAAACAGAGGTCAGGGAGACATTAGCTCCTCTCAGCGACAGTGATAAGTGCACTGATACAGTGATAGCGATAAGCAACCAAAACAAACAATTTATAAAGAAACATATATAACGGTCTGTTAGTTATTAAGAATGCAACACTAAGTAATCCAGAACTAGAGTTTTAGCTTTCTAAGTGCATTGATACATACATACGAGTCTGATATGATACATCGCCATGAGATCGAAGTTAAAGTTAAAAAACACGCGAACCTCACATGATTGATGTTGTTCGACGGGGGCGCCATCTCTTGGTAATAAATGATCATATTCTCTAGAGAATTTTCGGGTTGTTTTCACTGATCTCATATCTCCATATAATGATATATCTCTAGAACCAGAGGTTAATAATGACAAATTGTCATAATTTGACATTATTAACCCCTGATATAACTGAGTTATATATTAACAGTGGTGGTTTCATTGATATGTGGTATGTGATGCGTATAAATTACATGGTTTTGGCAAGTTAGGCAAAATCTCATTGCAAACATATTTGTGTTCTCTAAATCTTTTGTGTATTATATATAATCGTGTAGTCAATATATAACTTCAGGAGTGAATAAAAAAAAGTTGTTCGGATTTACTATACTGATATCTTCACAACTATTAGTAATAGTGTTACATATAGATCAATTTATAAGTAGTTAATTACGCCGTTTGTGTGCAAAGATTCATCCGTAGATATGTATAGAAAGATGATCATGCGACAATAAAAATAATAATAATTTAGAATAAGAATACATAGGCATAACAGTAGAATAACCATTAAAACAAACACAACGCCTATTTTTCAACGCTTGAATGTATTCAACAGCTACGAATAATGCCTAGGATGTATAATGAAGAATAACGCAGTATATGTTACCAACATTCTTCAGAGAAAATCACTTCCTATCATAGCGATAACTATATATAGTGACTTAATATATATATATATATATATATATATATTATAATTTGTGTGTTGTGTGTGTGTGTGTGTCTGTGTGGTGTGTGTGCGTGCGTCGCGAGCGTGCGTGCGGTGCGTACGTACGTGCGTGCGTGCCGTGCGTGACAGAATAGATATATAGAATATCCGGATAATATCATGAACATATATATGCCTGAAAACATGTTTACTGATTATAATAATATATATATATATATATATATATATATATATTAATTAACCCATCGATCAATAAGCGTCTTAGTTCATGAAAACCGCAACTAACTGAAACGACGTAGCTTTTAATAAGTTAATAATTACCAACGTAGTTTAACATTATCAATATTAATTTTTTTTATAAATCGTTCAAAAATAAAAACAAAACAAAAAACTAAACAAAAAATAAAAATATTAGGTAAAGTCAATTTCACTCAATACACTAGCATTAGTTCTATAATATACCGCACGCGTCAGTGACAGTGTTTTTTTTTTCCTTAACGACGTTATATAAAATAAAACGTTAGGTTCTTGGGTCCTTAGTGAACGAACAGCGGTCTCTGGTCATAAATTATATATATATATGTTGTGTGTGTGTGATGTGTGTGTGTGTGTGTGTGTGATGCGTGCGTGGCGTGCGTGGCGTGGTGCGTGCGTGCGTGCGTCGCGTGTGTGCGCTTGCCGTGACAGATTAGATATAATATGAAGTTCCGGCATAATATCTGAACATATATATGCCTGAAAACCTGTTTACGATTATATATACTATATATCATATATATATATATATATTAATTACCCCCCCTTACCCTCTCATCAATAAACGTCGTTTTACAGTCTCATAGAAAACCGCAACTAACTGAAACGGCGTAGCTTTATATAAAGTAATCAATCACACGTAGTTTAACATTACGTCATTAATTTTTTTTATAAATGTCGTAATAACATCCATTATTACGGTAAAGGCTACATCTTCACTCATACATAGATTAGTTCATTATAAAGCTAAAATCATAGCCGACGCGTCAGTGACAGTGTTTTTTTTCTTAACGACGTTATATAATAATAAAACGCTTTAGGTTGTTGGGTCTTGGTGAACGAACAGCGGTCTTGTATAATTATATATATATATGTTGTGTGTGTGTGTTGTGCTGTGTTTGTGTGTGTGTGTTGTGTTGCTGTGTGTGTGTTGTGGTGTGTCGTGTGTGTGTGTGTGTGCGTGTGTGTGTGTGTGCAAGGGCGTAGTGAGGCCTCCCAAAAAGTGCACACTTGCAGAAATATAGTAGTCCGATGCGGGGGTCTGGTATGGGCGCCCAAGTGTCGCATTGATCTGATTCGCTTACGAAATCAATCGATTTTGGCGAACGAATCAAGTCTACAAAGTGATTTCGCTACGAAACCAACTACTGGCGAGTGCATTTCGTCCGACGAAAGTCAGCCTTACTGCGCGCAGTGATTCGTGACGAACTCAGCTACTGCCCCAAGTGATTTGCGCTTAACGAATCAATGCTTACACTTGGCGCGCCCGGCCGAGCCAAGTGTCGCATAACTTGATTCGTTACAAAATTATTGAATTTCCGTAACGAAATCAAGTCTACAAACGTGATTTCCGTTACGAAATCAACTACTGGCGACGTCACTTTCGTTCGAAATGCAGCTACTGCGAGTGACTTCGTGGACGAAATCCAGCTCCCCTGCGTATCTACACTTTGGCGCGCGCGCGCGCCGCCCAAGTGTCGCATCTCTGATTTCGTTCACAAAATTATTGATTTTCGTAAACGAAATCAAGTCTACCAAAGTGATTTCGGTTACGAAATCAACTACTGCGCAGTGATGTTCGCTGACGCAAATCAGCCTAACTGCGAGTCATTTCGCTTAGCGAATCAGCTTTTACTGCGAGTTATTTCGTTCAGCGAAATCAATCGATGTTTGTAACGAAATCTAATGGGGCGCCAGTGTACATGGGGGGTACGTGCGTGTACCCGCGTGCACAACCGCGTATTACGTGCGTGTACCTGCGTGTACGTGCGTGCTACCTGCGTGTACGTGCGTGTACCTGCGTGCAGCGTACGCGTGTCACTCGAGTGTAACCGATGCCGTGTACCCGCGTGTACGTGCGTGTATCTCCGTGTACGTACGTAGTACCCGCGTGCAACGTGCGTGTATCTCCGGGTACGTACGTTGTACCCCGCGTGTAAGCGGTGCCGTGTATCCCGCATTACTGCGTGCTACGTGCGTGTACCTGCGTAGTACGTGCCGTGTATCTGCGTGTACAGTGCGATGTACCCCGCGTGTACGCTGCGTGTCCCGCCGCGTGTACGTGCGCGCTGGCAACAGGCGTGTACCGTGCCGTGTATCTCCGTGTACCCTCGTGTACGTGCCACGCGGGTACCCACACGTACACGCACGTACACCGCGGGTACACGGAGATACCACGCACGTACACGCATCGCTGCACGCGGGTACACGCACGCCGCCTACACGCAGGTACCACGCACGTACACGCAGGTACACTGCGGGTACACCACGTAGCCACGTACACAGGAGATCGATACACGCACGTCACTCGGGTACAACGCAACGTGCACGCGGGTAACACACACGTACACGCACGTATCACGCAGGTTAACCGCCCACGTACAACCGCCGGTTACACGCCCCGTGCACGCGGTACACCGCACGTGCACCGCGGGTAACCACGGTACCCCATGCTACAATTGGCGCCCCATAGAGTTTCGTTGACAAAATGCATTGATTTCGGGTATACACATCAGTCATGGCGACACTCATGGCCGGCGCCGGCGCGCCAAGGGTCCACATGATTTCGGTAACGAAATCAACTCGCAGTAGCTGATTTCGTAACGAAATGACTCGCCAGCTGAGCTGAATTTCGTAACGAAATTGGACTACGCAGTAGTTGATTTTCGTGCAAGCGAAATCAGCTTCTGTTGCTTGTTATTTCGTTACGAAATCAATAATTTTTGTAGCGAAATCAAGTCATGCGAGACACTTGGCCGCCGCCGCGCGTGCGCAAGTGTAGCATGAATTTCGTAAACGAAATAACTCGGGCAGTAGCTGATTTCGTCACGAAATCACATCGCAGTAGACTGATTTCGTCACGTAATACTCGGCAGTAAGGTTGGTTTCGTAACGAAATCACTTTGTAGAACTATGAACTTTCGTTACAAAATCATGGATTTCGTACGAAATCTAGTCATGCGACTTGCGGCCCCATACGGTCTGGGGTACTCTCCAAAAAAATTTGAAATGTCAAGCCTCGAAAACGGCATTTCCTCTCATTTTTCAAGCTATGTTTGAAAGCAATCCAATTCTTGATCCCCATTTTAAAAGGTAATTTGTAACATTTCAAAGAGGAATGTCGCTAAAGCTGATGTTTCTTGACTAAAGTATCTAAAAATATATATTAATGAGTATGTGATACGTAATAAACATTATTTACGAAATTGTTAATACTCTCAGTTAACATAATTATAAAAAAATAAGCCTATTTCAATCTGCATTTATACTTTCACTTGTACATCTGATTTTTTGAAGGTTTGAATTTGAATAGGTCAGCATTGTCATATTAAATACACATTCCAAATCTTAGAGCACATGATATAGGACACACTCTAATCTGATGGCACGTATTAATAGTAATACCAGACAGTCGTCAGATAAACTTGTCTTTTTTCTTTTTTTTTCAATTTTATCTTTTCTGGCCTGGATGCGCAACTTACAACATTCTGAAAATTACATTTGTTCATCTACCTTGTGTCTAACCATGTCTCGGCTGGCACATGCATGACCATTGCATTGTTGAAGCTTAACTGGGTCGTGCTGGTAGGGGGGGGGGGGCACTCCATATATATTGGCATGGATAGTATGTGGCCGCGGGAGAGACCCCCAATTTTAAACCCTAAAAACTTCCGTTCCATGTGGCATCGCATTTTTAAGAATAGTCTCGTTCCGAGAGCATTTAAGTATAGTTACCATGCAGATCTCTCCAAATTTTTTGCCGTTCCGGAGACCCTAGTTTTTTTAATTATTTCGCGTTCCAGTGCATCGTTACTTCAGAATACGTTGAAGGCCGGCCGTCAAGGCAATGGCATGCACACGTGTGTGTGTTGTATGTGTTGCGTGCCTGCGTGTGTTGTCTGGGTGGTGTGTGTGTGGTGTGTGTGTGTGTGTGTGTGTGTGTGTGTGTGTGTGTCGTGTGTGTGTGTGTGTGTGTGTGTGTGCGTGCGTGTCGTTGATGGCGTGTGTGCCGTGTGCGGTGCTTCATCTCGTCTGCCGTGGTCATCCCCCGCCTTGTTTTTTCTCCCTGCTACATAATAACAAACAATTATTGGTTCAAAGTGCTACATGCATAGATTTTTAAGAGCAAATCAGCTGTTCCCCCCCACAGTTCCGGAACGACCCCCTCTTTTAAACGTGTCCAGTGGTCATCGCATTGAATCTTCAGACGAAATCACTAGTTCCGGAGACCTCGCATTGTTTCAAACATAGCCAGTCCAGAAGCACAGCCACATTCCACCAAAGCATATAGTTCCAAGAGCCCCATTTTCAGGTCTGGAGTTAGTTCCTAGAGGCCCACCCCCCCCCGCATTTTTGACTCTTGCAGTGACATACGCTGACGATATATGTGGGGGTGAGTGCCACCCCCGGGGTTTCATCTGCCTTGGTATATTTGCTCCTCTGGTTTCGGCCTTACAGAAATTTTTTTTTTCAAAATAGTGCCAGCGGCAGTGCGTGCTGCCGTGGCGGCCACTACGGCCCTGGTGTGTGTGTTGTGTGTGTGTGTGTGTGTGTGTGTGTGTGTGTGTGTTGTGTTGTGTGTGTGTGTGTGTGTGTGTGTGTGTGTGTGTGACTTGTGTGTGTGTGTGTTTGTGTGTGGCGTGCGTCCGTGCGCTCGCGCGTGTGTTACATGTAAATAATATATACTACTATATATATATATATAATATTATGCATATACATATTTGTGTGTATGTATGTACAGAGAGAAAAGAGAGAGCAAGAAAGCGAGTGAAGGAAAGAGAGAGGGAGAGGGAGAGGAGGAGAGACGGATAGATATCAGGAGTAGATAATAGGGAATCCCCTATTATCTACTCCTGATAGATATGGATATCAACATAAACTTCTGATTACAAAAGTCGTGCAAACTACGCATATCATACTCAGACTTTCTCTAAATCCTTCGTAACGCATATAGCTGACTAACTACTACTTATATTCACTACATAAAAGTAAAGTAATAAGTAAAACGAAGTACACAATATAACATATAACACTGACCAGTATTTTACTCATATATTTTAATGTTCGTTACAAAAAAACTGCATGCTTTCCTATTTTTCCATAGGTCAATACAAATGTCTGGAAGAATGTCTCAGCATCAACACCTTGCACCACAAGAGGCAAGCTAACTCCAGCACATGCGTAACTCTCTGCAAAGAGATGGACTATACAGCAGTGAGCTTCTATTCACCAAATAGTCAACGATGCCATATATATGATTAAGATTATCACACGTAATTAGTAGCTTTGTGAAGAGTGAAGAAGATTGTGTCCGAATTGGTACTGTAGTTGTACTAGAGTTGGAAGCGTAACCGATTAGATTATTAATAATATTTGCAACTATTAATTTTAATTTGCTAAATGAAGCAGTTAGCATTAGGCAAGAAACTAGGAGATATTTTCTCGACCATATATGGAAATATATAGTTGGAATTATAAGTTGTGCATCCCAGATATGTCAAATCTCATGCATTGAGTGTGAGATTCGCACATTAGAAGCCGCCTCACACTCACAACAACGCATTGATATCTCACGCATTTCAGAAATATAAACAATAATAAAAATTATCCACAAAAACGTGCTCACATGATAGTGATTTCACTGGCGTAAGGTACGTTTATTTTGAGCATTGGAGGTCTCAAAATCTTATAAGTAAAGATTTAACATCAGCAAAAATTCACCGGATTGCAGGATTTAAGGAGTCCCAAAATATTTATGAGGGTGCATGCCCCTGCACCCCAATGTCATTAACTTGAGAGCTCTAGCACCCTCCCTCCTATAGCCCACAAAATCCAGTTGTGAAATAAGTGGGACGTGTACGAAATGAAAGAACACATATTCATATATTGGTCTCTTCTGTTGTGAAAAATATCAGTTCATAGATACACACGCTGATCAGGATAGTATAAAAAATTATTCTTTGCACCAAGTACTAGCATCGAGTGCAAGACATTACATATACGTCTTTAGTTACTAGTACTGGGTGGAACCCTGAACATGTTTCTATGTATACCATATCGTAATATGCATATATTCAAGGTGAGATGTACACAAATATTAAGTAAAATGGCATAACCCTTCGTGTGTACTCGCACTTAATCCAATCACTTCTACACTTATATAACAGTATAAAATGACTCTATTTTCCTCTCCCTCCTTTAGTTAGAAGACAATTAAGACTAGTAGCACTCATAGAAACAGTAGATAATTGTAAATTCCAGTAAGAAATCTGCTGAAACCTAATTAACATAAGGACAGCTTTTAAATGCAAAACAAGGCAGTGGAAATCGAAACAGCTAATGCCTCCTATAGCCGCTTGCATAGCATCACGAAGTCGGCGTCGCTCAGCGGTTGCCATGGGTAACGCAGCATCAGCGACATCTGCTTTTCGAAGTCAGGCAAGTGCGACGCGTAGCTCTTGAACCACAGTGAGCGCTGCGAGAGCGTCGTCTCCTTGAACACGTTGGATCGCTGGCCATCGAGCACGAGGCAGGCGCGGCGGACGCGCACGACACGCAGACGCGGGCACAGGTCAACCATGAGCAGAAGCACCGAGCAGCTGATCGCCTCGCTGAAGACAAACGTGTGCAGTCGCTTGCACGCGCTCACAAACGTGATCATGTGACTATCAAACACTGGACTTGACGTCGTCGGCGACAACGCCGGCGGCGGCGCAACCACATGCCGGCGTAGCACCACACCATTGGCCGCGACAGCAGCGTTGCGATTCGCGCCGCCATGTGTCGGCGTCCGCGTGCGATTGGTCGACGGTTTGTCGACATCGTTGAACCCATTCACGAATGCGAACGTCTCCAGCGAATCGCTGTACTGCTTCACGTTGCGAATGCAGTCGAACGTCAGAACGTCTTCGAAGTAGACAAGGCTGAGGGGCATCGCATCCATGAGGAGGTGTGCGAACGCAGCGAGCGAGTGAGCATAGAACTCAACACGAACCTTCGGCGCCCGTACTGCAAACTCCGTCCACCGCGAGCTCGGGATGATGTGGCAGTTCTGCCGCGACGTGTAGCGGTTGCAGATGATAGTGATCGCGCGCAGCGTCGCCACGGTGACGAGCGACAACAGCACGGTCTCGCCGAGATGCTGCGGGCTGACGACGAGTCTCACCAGGTGGCGGCACGCGCCGATGTGCGCGAGCGGCTTCGAGAACTTGAGCAGCGTGTAGTTGATCAGCTCAAACGTGTGCAATCCCTCGGCGCAGTTCTGTAGAACTTCGGCCATCGGGTCAGGCGACAGCATGTAGAACGCGCAAGCGATGCGAGTGTTCCTCACGGAGAAACGTCGCAGCGTCGTGACGACCGCAAACAGCTGCCGAAGCTCTGGGATGAGGTCAGCATCTGCGCCGCGCTGCTCGGCAACGGGGAAGTCGATCGAGAGGCTCTCGAGACACAGGCCGACAGCGGCGCCATCTCTCAGCACCTCGACGAAGCTCCTCAGTTCGCTCGAGGTGAGTCCGGAGATGTTCACATGTCGTATGTGTGCGCTGTACGACTGCACGAGGTCCCTACGGTCCTGCTCACAGAGGGTGCTCGTGATGTCAGCTCGTCGCCATAGCAACGGGTGATTGGCAGCTTCGATCCACTGCTGACACACGGAGGAGACTGCAAGCTTGTCAACCGTACTCAGGTAGGAAAATATTCTAACCTGTTAAAATACGACAGTATTAGGCCATAATAAAAATATTGTTTGTTTGCCCTTACCCGACCGACCCGCCAAAAAGGGGCCAACTAAAGTTTTTTTTTTTTAACAAATTGAATTACTGTATGATTCACTGTACATTATATAAATCTGTAGGCAATACATTATACGTACCAATCAAAACAAACATTCAACACAAAAGGTATCTCCACACAAGCACACCCGAGCATGTAGACACCATGCTGAATTTATAAAAAGACCCCCCTCAAAAAAAAAATTTAAGTCTGGGTCGGGTGAGGGCAAACAAAGATTTTTAAAATTGTGGCCTAATTTAACTATCCCAATAAGCAACATACAATGCTGCATACAAATGAAGGACACATTAAAACACAATTATATGCTTATTAAACTTGAAATGTATAGCAAAAACAACATGACGTGTAGTTCTCCTATTTGCTAATGTTAAACAAATAACAATAAAAGAAGTTGCTACACATAAACACTGTTTTACATTATGTTACACCATGCTAATCGCTGATATGGAAGAATATGCTGTGCTCAAACTTACCAATGCAAGGTTAGGAAGTGTCTCCCAATCTGGCATTGTCCAGCGTAGGATTTCAATGATCGACTTGCGATATTGGGTGTTCCTGTGAATGCTGTTTCTCTGGTAGCCATGGCGAACATATGACCGTTGGAACGACGAATACATACACACCTAGATGTAGATTCGGCACTGCCTGCTCAAAAGAAATACAATGTCAATAAGAAAGAATCAGAACATGACTATATTATAGTAGTTACATTGCTCTGCCTTTAATATTCCCCTTCCACTTCCCCTTATATGGACTTCTCATATATTCCAGTCACCAGTATCTACTATGCATGTATAGTCCTTGTAGCTCCATCTGCTGGGGTATAATTCCAAACTTTATCATCACTAGAGCCATATAGGAATAGGTCCTATTATTTATATATATAACTACGTGCCTATATATATATATACACACAGGGTACAAAATCAAATATCCCCGATTTACTTTCGGACTCCCTGATTTGACATGTGCCGAAGTCCGTGCGACTCCCTGAAAATTCTGCCATACTAACTAGTTCGTTCCAGAGCACGCGGCCTCGCAGAATTACTGTATTTTTTCAGCTAATGTCCAAAGAAAATTTGGCAGACGTGCAACCGCATGAATCTTCAAAATAAGCAAATGCGTTATCTTTAATTTTGAACCTCAGATGGCAGACTCCCTCATTTTGCTGCGAACTCCCTCTTTTTGAAGGTAAGGAAGTCCGTTGGACTCCCGTGTTCAAAATTAATTTCTACCCCTGTACACATATAAATTTGTAGTAAAAAGAGAGCTATTAGATGTGATCACAATGTGGGGACTAGGAAAGACTTAACTGAGTACCAGTAGAGTATAGGGTGATCCAACTAAAGGTTAATCAGGGTTTCAAAATATTACACATTCTCAGTCCCCAGTATGTTACAGAAGGCTTTACATTATCACGTGAAGTCCACAGTTTCAATACCAGCAAAGTTGAGGTGTCCATTTTTAAACCAAGGGTGGGATGCAATGAGAAACTCTTTTACTTTTAGTGAGATCGAGGCTTTGAACTCTCTACGACAATGTCCTGGCTGCGGATTAAAGGGACTACGTCACGAATTTTCTATAATAAAATTTGTAAAAAAAAAATTGCCATTTTTTTTACATTAAAAGTAAGAACTAACGTTACTAAAT